AGATTTTTAATTACATTCCTATTTTTCTAATTTATATAAATAAAAACTATAAATAAATTAAAATTAAAAAATTTTAGTAAATGATATTTATATTATATATAAAAATTAAAATCTAGAAAAATAAATTTATAATTAAAATGAAAAGAATAATTGTATAATTTCTAAACTCTTTATACTAGATTCTATATAATATCAGATAAATAAATATTAATTAATGTTTTGCTATTCTATTAATATAAAATATTTAAAAATATAATACAATATAATAAATAAGATAATAATTAATAAATGATTATTTGTATATAATTAAAAAAATATATATTAATTTATATATAATTTTAAAATTAATAATACCATTTTAAATAAATCATTTATTTAAATTTTCAATATAAAATTCCTTAAAAATAATATTAGAATTTATCATACCATCTAGCTCTCCAATTATCTAAACTTTAATTTATTAACCTAATAAATATAAATAAATACATATATATAAATATATAATTAAAAATATATATATTTATATATTATATATTATAAAATTATTTTTTATATATATTACATATATTATTTTTTTTTTTTTTATTTTATATTTACGTTTAACAATGTATGTAATATTCACCATCATTTATAAGGTTTTTTGGATTAAATCTTTTCTCAAGTTCTTCCATAGCTAATTCTCCTTTTTCAAAACAAGGAAGTGAAATTCCATGTCCACAATAAAGCATTTTAGCTAAAATAAGTATTCTATCTTAATTTTTCTTGCAGCCATAAATCCTCTAAATAAAAAATTACATATTTAAAAATAATAATTAATATTACTTAAAAAATAGTTTTCTATACAAATTAAACATATCCGAATCTACTCCACCTAATATTTCTATATATTCAGTCAGTAATTTAAATGGTACTTTAGTTTCAAAAGCTAATCCTTTACCTGGTGCATTAGAAAGCATAAATCCAAAATCTATATGTACAATATATCCATCTCTATGAAGTAATATATTTCCATTATGTCTATCTTTTATTTATAAAAAATAACATACAAGACTATATGCTGCTAAGCTTTAACAAAAGTTAAGTTAAGCTTATTTGAAATTTTTCCCATAAACAATACGGAAAAACTGGTGTAAATTGAATATATTTTTATAATTTAATTAAAGAGATTTCTTTAGTCCATCTATTGTTATAGAATTTTTTACTACTTCAATTATACCAAAATCAGGTCCTAAAGAAACGATTTCGTAAGGTCTAAGTATTAAATCTAAATTTTCACTCTAAAATATTTACTAGAATTGATATATTAGTTATAACGCAAATTATTCTTGTTTTAAATTATCTCCTGTCTTATAAGTATATATATATATATATATATATATATATATATATATATATATATATATATATATATATATATATAATTACTTTAACTATCAAATGGACACATTTCCATGTTTTAAAATGTCCAAAAGGAGATGCTTTTCGTAGCCTTTTTTCTTAATCTTCTTAACTTTCACCGAAAAGGATTTAAACAAATTTATTAAGAGAAATTTTCGTTCCGTTTTAAAGTTCTATTTCTTCTTTTTAATTTTATTCTTCGATTTAACAATTATCATTATTTTAAGATTAATTCTATATTTATGGATATATTTATTCTTTTTAAATATCTGTCATATCTGATTAATAAACACAAGAAATGCCAGAAATTTCATATAAAGTTTTTTTTTTTAAGCATTAGCTAAATTTAATTCCTATTAATTATAAGTCAATATATCTGAATTATTTATTTATAATTGGTCATGCTAATTTATTTACACTAATTACATATTAAAATATTTAAAGATTAAATTTTTATAATTAAAGTTAATAAATTTATTAAAAAACTTATTAAATTTTTTTAAAAAATATAAATCTTATATTTTATTAAATTTTATTAAATATACATATAAAAATATATAAATAGAAATATATTTATATCAATATAAATTTATATTTATTTGAATATATATTTATATATATATATATTTATTTATTTATTTATACTTTCTGGTTATAAATCATCATTTGTTTCGTATATCGTTTTTTTATTTACATTGTTTGAATATCTAATCATATCTTTTCTCATAAGTGATGATAGTCTTCTACAATTGCTATTTCTATAATATTACTTTATTTATTTTTATTTAAATATATACATAAACTATTTTCATATTTAATTTGTAAATACATGAACAGTATAAGGATATGATTCATATATTTCTTTATTCCAATTATATAAATATTTGATATTTTTTCCATTCATTTTGATTTATGATTCATTCTATAAGACAATTTCTTAATCAGGTCTATATATTTCAATACAAATATAATATGGCGATCTTTCTTTAGTGGAATAAACTTTACATTCAGTTGGTACAATATTAAGTACAATATGGTTTCGTATTTAATTAGTAAAAAAGGGTATATAAACTGCCGCAGGAAGTTTTTCGTTAATTTATTTAATATCTTTTGTTAAGCCTATTATTTTCGGATCTGCATTTTTTAATCTCATAGAGACTTCTATAAGATCATCAAAAAAGTTAATTGAAGAAAAGAAAGAGAAAGAATTATCATTATTTATATCTTTATTATTATTATTTATACTATTATTATTTTATTTAATCTCGATATTATTCGTTTCTTAAGTTTCGTAATTTATTCCAACCTGCCTTTCATAGTTTTTTAATTATATAGTTTATACTTTAAGTATTTTTTTATTTTCATTTGTTTTTATTTCACATTACTTAATTGTTCCATATTTTTATATTATTTCTTATATTTATGATTCTGGTTCAAGTTTTTCTTAAAAATTATTTGAGTAGTCTAATTTACCTGTTATTAATAATTGTTACTAAAAATCTAAACTAAAAGAGTCTCCTATTGATTAAACTAAATGCTAAATTCTTTTTTTTGTTTTTAAAAATATATATATATGTATATATATATTTTACAATGGAAAAGATATTATTTCCTTTTTAGTAATTATTTTAGATATAGATTGGAAATAAAAATATAAATAATGAGCGAAAAAGTAACTTATTTATCCTGCTACATGGATAAATTCTATCATTTGTTCATTTTATAATTCGTCATGAAAGGCCATAAAATTGCATAATTAAGGAATATAAAATTCAAGATCGTTTCTTTAGGTATTTTATATATTATATTATGGATTTATTCTATTTTTTATTTAATTTTATTTATATATATATAAATATTAATTTAATTATTTTATTTAATTAATACCTGCAATTCCTTAACATTTATATTACTTAATCTTAATCTTCTTATAAATATAAACTTATTAATGCTTATAATGGATCATATATAATTTATTCCTTTTTTTATAAATATAAAGCTTTTTTGTTAATATGTTTGTAAATAGGAGATTAAAAAAAAAAAAAGAAAGAAAGAAAAGAAAGAAAGAAAGAAAGAAAAAAAGAAAAAAAAAAGGATACGTAAATAAATATATAAACTTAATTTATTTATTTGAATTTGTTATTTTATATTTATTTTAATACATTGTCAATTTTTTAATTGCTTTTATGAATCTTTTGTATTAATCTTGTTGATACACTTTTTCTATGGGAAGAAGTTAAAAGAGATTCATCTGTTTCCTTTTTAATTATTTTGTTTTAATTATACATTAATAAGCCTATTATTTATTTACTTTGCAAATTTAAAAACATTTACAACAACATATAGATTTAAATATTCCATATTATTTTTTTGGATTTAATATTATGGATGCTTTTTCTGTTTAAGTTGATTACATTTTATTTTTATTTTTAATTTTTTGTTTTTTTTTTATTTTTTGTTTTTTTTTTTTAAAAAAAAAAAAAATATAGTAATATACTTATTATTTCAGAACAAACATTATTATTGTAGGTATAAATAATATTATTTAAAAAAAAATGTAATAAAGAATATAAATATAAAAATTAATTCAATTTAATTTATAATAAATATTAATTTTATATGATAAGAACATTATATTCTATAAAATAAAATTATATTTATATTTATATTTTACCTTTAAAATATTTTTTTAAAATAAATTAAAATAATTTTATAAAAGTTATTTTTTAATTTATAAAATAAAAAACAAAAAAATTAATTTTAATATTTTTTATGATTTTTTTTTTTCAAAACTTTCTACTAAAAAGTAAATTTATAAAAGAAATTAATAATTATTTAATAATTTAGACAAGTATACATACATATTTTTAATTATAAATCATAAACTAATATTTTGTTTGTTTGTTTATTTAGTTATTAATTTTTTTTTTTTTAAAAAAAAAAAAAAATTGTTATATTTAATTTATAAGAAAAGGAATTTATATATAATTTAAAATAAATTATATGAAAATTATCTAATATATATAAAAATTATTTATCTTGTTTTTATTTTTTATATAAAATAATGGTTTTAACCATTTTTAATCAATATAAATATCTTTATATTTTTATAAATATTAAAATAAAGTTTAAATTTTGTTAATATTTATATCTATTTTATTATAAATTATTATGATTTCTAATTTATTAAAGTTAAATATAGATTAAATAAAAAATATTAATATATGATTTAAATCTATCTAAATACTATATACATTTCAAACAAATCATCTTTTTTAAATAATTTAATATTTTAAAAAAATTTTTAATGTATATAATCTATAAATATATAATATAAATAATTATAAATAAAATTCAAAAAAAAAAATATATATATATATATATATTGATAATTATAGAAAATAATAATATTTTTAAAAATATTTAAAATAAAAATGAATTTAATATTAATTCTTGTAATTTAATTTTTTTATTTTTCGAAATAGTTCTCAGCATAATAAATAAATGATTTTAAAAGAAACCTATAATAATTATAGTAAAAAAATATATACATTATTAAAAAATTATCAAAAAAAGAACTTATCCTATAATGGAAAACAAAGTATAATGTTCCGATAATTGTTTAAAATGTTCTATACCCACACAATGCTAAGTATGTTAATTTGGTTATTTTGAATTAACAATAAATTAAAATGATATAATATGTATAAAATGGTAAACAAAACAAAAAATTAATATCTTTAATAAAAATTAAAAATATAATAAAAAGTCCATATTTTGATATAACGTTAGGCCAAAATTAATCGATATTTTAATGCGCAAACTGTATTTTTGATCACTTTAAATTTTCCTAAACATTAAAATGTGAATATAATTATGTTTTAAATTCTAAAATTCCCACCTCAAATCCCTAATTATACCAAAACTATCTAAAAATATAAGACTAGACAGCATAATAACTATTTATATTAATAAAAATAGACTTTAAAACGTTTAAATTGGAGCAATGTTTCGGTTGTGAATAATGGTGTTTGAATTAAATAAATCCTAAATGTTTTATTTTCGACGAAGCTAATTTTTATCCTTTATAAAAATATGTATTATGTAAAAACGGATTTTTTTATGTCAATAAAACTTGCTAATAATGCCCTTCAAATTGTATTGAATGTGATTTATAAAAAAATTGTTTATAATGTGATAAAGGATATGTCATAAATAATCTATTTTAATGTTAATTATGTACTACTCTTCTTTCTGATTGCCTAGAGTGTTTTTTTGGAAATTCTTCTCTTAATTTAAATGAATAACCTTAGCTTTGGAAATAATATCTAACTCCATAAGATCTTATTGATAATAATATAACTATAAGATGTACTAAATGCAATATATCAACCACTTATTTAATTCCTTCAAAAGATCTATTAAAATGTGAAGGATGTAATCCAAATTGTATATCATGTTATTATATAAAGCAGGATAATGGAGTATAAATAAACCATTCTATAAATCCTAAAGTTATACCTAATGATGAAATTTCTCTTTATTAAAAATATTGCTTTTTATGTATTGTATCATATTTTGTTTCCTTTAACGGAACTTGTGAAATTTGTGATATTTCCAGATGCAATTTATGTTATTATGGTGAACTTTCAGGCACTAATTAATTCTATACTTTAAATATAGGATTCATTTACTTAACTAATAAAGGCAAATTAGTTAAAAAATGTTATGATTGTGTATCTTCATCAACTTCATAAAGAGCTATTATGATAAATGGAAGCTGTTCTACCTAAAATAGCCTTAAAACATTAGATGCTAATTGTTATTAGTGGCTTTAAATTAATACAACAAGTGTTTTAGCTAATGATTATATATGTATGGAATGTAATAATTATGGTTTTAACATTGACTTACCAGCTAATTAAAGGTTAGTATTTTTTTTATTTACTTTTTATTTCATTCTTATATATTTCTAGAAAATGTGATAAAAGTAATAGTGTCATTCATCCTAATTGTGTTAGTTTTTATTACTATTTATCTGGTTTGAATAGTTTAATAATTTCAATTTGTGTTAGATGTAAGAGAGGTATAAAAATATAAAGCAATTAATTATATTTGAACAAACAAATAAACAAAAAAAGGATTTACTGCTTCAGTAGCAAACGGATGTGTTTCATGTTAATCTGGATAAGATTTTGATTATGGAATAACAGCTGAAAACATATGTAAACATTGCTCCCATATAACTCCTACTGGCTATAATTTTACACATTATATATTTTTTAATAGACCAAAAATCCCATAAAGTAAAAATAATAAAAATAAAAATAACAAAATTATAACTAGATTAAATTGATTTAATTGAATAAACATATAATATAAGAACAAAGCCACTATGTGAAGTTTGTATAGATAAAAAAGTATATGGCGTTTGTACTAATTTAAATTTTTGCCAACTATTAGTTTCTAATTGTTAAAAGTTAACTAGTGTATATGATGGGTGTAAAACAGATTAAAATTCAGTAGTTTATTGCGAATCATGTCCTTTTAAATTATAAGATGTAAAAAATAGCGATAGTACAATCTCAAAAGTTAAAATAAGTTAAACAGTAGCTTTAATACCTAACTAATGTTCTCTATGTCCAAGATATTGTAGTTTTTGTTAAGAAAGGACCTTAGATTAAATTAAATAACAAAACCCATATTTTATTACATAATTAATATTTAAATAATTTACAACCAAATGTTTCAAATGCATTTAAGTTAATGATATGTGTAATTTAGGAGATTCTAAAGGAGGGTTCGGATACACTTGTCCTTTTACTAATAATGCATCTGGGACTGATTTTGCACCTTATTATAATCAAATAGTTAATTAATGTACGATTTGTAACAAACAAAACCTGTAGTGTAATAGAATACATAAAATGTAAAAAATTATTGATTGTAGATCCTTAAATGATATTGCAAGTGGTATGAAAATAGATACTTTAACTTTAACTAAAATAAATATATAGGAATAATCATTTAGTAATACCATTGATTTAAATTTTAATGAATTTGATACATATGAATTATAAAAGTAATAAATAAAAATTTATTTATTTATTTATTTTTTATTAGAGATTTATTTTATCGTTTAAATGAAGATAACTTTACTTAATTTTAATTTGAAATATTAGTGATTCCTATAAAGAAAAGTTTTAAATTATAAAATGGTTAAACAGTTACTGATGGTGCTTATTGTATGTTTCCATCATAATTAAATATATCAACTAAAATAGCTAGATATGTAATGAATTTTGAAAATATTTAAATTTCTTTTAAATCTTATGACATAGATAATAAAAATTCTATAGGAACTTTAAACCTTTAATTTTTCTTTTAAAGCCAAATATAGTTTAATGGATTTAATAAATATTTATTCGAATAAATAGATTTTTATCCTTTGTATGCACTTGATTAAACTACAAAATAATTATCATTTACGATTTCTTTTAATGAAATTTTACTTTTAAGTAGTGTTATATTCAATTAAGTTAATTTTTATAGTGGAATATCTTTGAAAGACTAAGCAAATAATAACTTAAATGCCTATATTTTACTTATTTTAAATAATATTATTTAATTAGAGATTACTTAAATGTAAATAAAAGGATTTTAATTTTAATAAAAAAATAATATTTTTCTTTTTGACACAAAACTTGAAGAAAATACTAATTTTACTTTTTTAATATTAATAAAATAGCTTTAAATATTAGAAAATAACTTTAATTAGGTTACTTTATTTCCTCTATATATACTTAAGACTTAAGTTTTTATAGATGATCTTTAATTAATTGGTAATTAATTAAATGAATTTAACTTTTTAGGAGAAAAATCATAGAAATAAAACTGTTTATATAAAGTAGAAATATAAAACGTTGTTTTATATAAAAACTATTGGCATTAATCTTCTTTTGTTTCTTTTAATAATGTTGCTAGCTTAAATATTAATAATTTTACAATAAAAAGATAATTATTTATATAAGGAAATTATATTTTTAAAAGTATTTCGTTTTCAATTACTAATTTCTAATTAAATAATAATTATGATAAAGTTGATGAAAGTTAATTTTAAAATTATTAAAATAATAATTTTTAGAGTAGAATTTTTTAAATGTGCGAATCTACTTTACTAACTGACATTGTTCCTATATTTTCATTAACCAATATTAATATTTAAGAGATTGTTTTCGATAATGTATTCCATCCTATATACTTAAGTAATATTTTTACTAATAAAATTTAATTTTATATTTCAGGAAACATATAAAGTAAATATATATTATATAAATATATTATTTATAACAAAAAAATAAAATGTTAAAAAGATTTATAATTTATGAATAATTTAGATTATAATTTTATTATTATTAGTAATGCTGATAAAATAATTCTAGAAAATGTGATTTTTTTAAACAATCTAAAAATTAATTTATTTGATATTAATAATTTTAATTATTTAGATGTTATTAATTGTTCCTTTATTTAATAATCTCCATATGTTTATGATTCTAATAAATCAATAATTGATAATATTAATAGTCTTTAATTTAAATTATCATATCCAATATTTTACATATATAATTTTTAGAATAATGTTCATTTTATAAACACAATATTTTAAAATTATAACTTATATGACGAAGTAATATATATAATATATATTTTATTTTATTTTATTTTTTTAATAAAAAGAGTATAATAGAAATATATATTTAAAAAAGCTAAACTATTAACCAAAAAAAAAAAACGAATATATATTAAGCAAATGACATTTAATCTGATATAATAATATAATATTAACAGTAAGATTAAAAATTTACAATATAAAACATAGTTTTTAATAAATGTGTATTCTCGAACATCATAAGCATTCTATCAAGTTATTCATAAAAGATCTCCCCAATAAATATAGAATCATAAGATGAAATAAGAATAATAATACAAAATGTAAACGCATAGAATATTTAATTATACTCCATTTAAGAAACCGTATTTTATGATTCAAGTTCTTTCTTTCTTCTAGACTCTATTGTTTCTTATTTCTATATGAGTAAATTCGATGGTCAAGATTTCGTTTCTTTCCAAACAAATAACGGGTTTACATTATAAGCTAATAAAGTATTAATAAAAGATAGTATTTTTGTAAAAGGAAATCAAAATACTAACTTATTTAAATAAATGAAAAATTTGGGTGGATTTTTAAACATAAAAGCCTAAGATATAAATGTTTAGAATAGTGCTTTTAAAGACTGTAATTCAGCAAATGGTGGTGCTATTTATATTGAAGGAATATCTTTAGGACAATAAATATTTTAAGTGTATATATCTAAATGTTCTTTTTAAAATATTTAAACTACTTCTTTATTAGAAAGTTAAGGAGATGGGGGAGCTTTATATATAATTAGCCAAAAAAGCCAAAGTAATATAATATTATAAGAAATTTCTTGCAATTAAATATATGCAATAAAATCTGGAGGATTCCTTTATTTTTAAACAGGATAATATTCATAAGAAATCAAAATTTTAAATTCTAATTTTGCTGATATATTGGCTTTATAAGGAAGTATAATATATACCGACTTAAAATTAGAAACAACCAAATTTTAATATCAGGATAATATTGTTTCCTATAAAGAAAATCAAACGAAAGGATATTTTCTTTTACATAGTTTTCCCATAAAAGATTTATGTTTTTTCCTTTTCTGTTTTTCAAATGGCATTGTTAAATTCGAAAATAATTCTTTCTAAAATATTTACCTTTAAGGAGTTATTAAGGCCGAATAAGTCTCTTTCTAATTATTAAACAATAAATTTGAAAATGCTTATTTATGTCGAACGTCATTATTGTATTTTCTAAATTCTAATTTAATGATTAAAATAATGGAAGTCCAAAAAATAAATACCATATTAGATGAATGTTCCAAGATTGAATACTTAGAAGATAAAAAATTAAAATCCCTAGTCCTAGAAGCTGAAAAAACATCAGTATAAATTTCAAAACTAAACATTTAAGACACAAATTGCCCTTAATGTTTATACGGTACACTATTATTTATCTAAAACAATGACTATATAGACATAAATGAATCCTAATTTAAATAAAATAAAGCGAATTAAGGAATTCTACACTTCTAAGATTGCATTAACGTGATAATATAAAATTCATCCTTTGAAAAAAATTCTGTATAAAATCAAGGAGGTGCCCTATATTCATAATTTTCCCAAATAAAAATTCTTAAAACCACTTTTATAGAAAACTAAGCTCAAACCCAAGGTGGTGCCATTTACTTTAAAATAAAAGACTAACTAAAAAACACCCTAATTCTACAAGAAGTGCAAATATTAAAAAACAAAGCTAAAATCGGTGGAGGAATCCGATTAATAAACGGAAACATAAATTTAATGTAATAAACTATTATAAATAATAATTAAGGAGAATAATATGGAAATAATATATTCGACTACCCTTAAGGACTTGAGATGTATTTGATGGAAAAAAATGGGCGAATCTAAATGGTTTTTGACTAAACTAAAAAAGCGTTTGTTTTAAAAAACTGGGCTTCTGGTTAAGATTTAAACGCTTAAATATTACTAAAAATGATTGATTATGATTAAAGGTAGACCTATTTTGATGAAGAAGAGGACTCCTATATAAAAGAGATGTAAATCGAAATAAACGTCAATAATTCATCTGTAAAAAATTAATATTAGAAAGTAGCAGGAAACAACATATAAAAATACAACAAGAATCTACGCGGCTTTCTTTTTGATAAAATCATTTTCGAAAATTTACCCAGTAAAGATTCTTATTTAGAATTATAAGCCATAAGCTAAGAAATATAAAAGGGAAGTTCTTTGCTTTATAAGTATCTTTTTTATGTCTAAATGAGAGATTGTGAATTAGGAGAAGCTCTTATTTAAGGAAAATGCATTAAATGTTAAGAAGCTACTTTTAGCATTTAAATGGACTCTACTGAATGTAAAAAATGTACTCTTAAAGAAATATAGGAATGCGTTGATGGATTTAAAATTAAAATTTATCCAGGATATTGGAGAAAGTCTTTTGACTCTGATATTATTATTGAATGTAAAAACTTAATTAGTAATTGTTTAGGAGGATTCAAAACAGGAGATTAATCATGTGCAGAAGGACATATTGGAGCCCTTTGTGAAAGTTGTGATATTTATGGAAATGTTTGGGGTTAAAGTTGGGCGAATTCCAGTCCTTTTAAATGCGGATTATGTAGCGAAATCAACTATAATAGTATAAAAGTGTTTGCTATATCTATATATACGCTTATTGCTTTACTTTTTTCTGTAAAGAGTGCTATGGTAAGCAATTAAGTGAATAACGTGCAGATGTTTTTCCAGAAAAGAGGTGCAAACATTCGTTAACTATCATATAATTTACAAATATCAATTTTAATAAAAATATTAACAAATTATTTCCAACTAATTTCTATTTTAAGATCTTTCGATTTAGAATTACCACCTGGTCTAAAAGACGTAAGTAATAATATAGGAAATCCTATAGAATAAATGAGTTTTTCAATGGATTGTTTTTTAATAATACTAGCTGGGGATATAGATGTGCTTTATTTCAGAGTAATCTGGTAATTATTAATGCCTTTGATTTATATCATAATCTTTTTAGTTATGTATTTTTTATATTTGAAAATGAAATAAATTGAAATTGAAAGTAAGATTATTTGGATTTCCTTTATTTATATTTATATTTCTTATTAGCCTTCTATTATTAATTAGTATATTTCTCTAGCCTCGTGTAGAGAAATAGGAGATTTAATGTATGTTAAATAAAATACAGCATATGAATGTTACACTTAAAATCATATTAAATGGATATTCTCCTTGGTTATTCCTGTACTTTCTATTATTGGTGTTATTATTCCTTTATATTTCTTTTATAATCTTTATAGGGGAAAAAGTAAAGTATTTTTATTTATTTTATTCATTATTTTTATTATTATTATCTTTAATAGTTAGATTCCCCTTAAATGAAATATAAATTAGGTTTCTTATATATTGAATATAAAAAAAATGCCTATTTTTGGGAAATACTTAAAATTGTTGAAAAAACATTTGTCTTAATTACTATTAATTTCTATGATTCAAGTATTTATATTAAAGGTTTGATTATTCTATTGATTATTTTTGCTTATGATTTGCTTTCTTAAAAATATTAACCTTATCAAAGAGTTTCTTTTAATAATTTAGATAAACTTTCTTCTTAAACTGTACTTATTTCTATTACTTTAGCTCTCTTTATATATTAAAACGAATATTCTTACTTAGTTATGATTGCTTATATCTTTATTGTATTTAAAAATTCCCTATTCTTAATGAAAATTCTTATTGTGTTTATTGAAGCCTATACTAATAAATTTAGACCTTCTTTAAGGGCTTTATATTCAAAAATTCGATAAAAATTCCCTCGGGCATCTAGGATTTTTAAAGTATGTTTTTCTTTTTAAATATTTTAGATTATTCATTAATTTTCATTTTTTTTGTTTAAAAAAAAAAAAAAAGATTAATGATGTAAATCAAGAAAGAATAGATTATTTAATGTCGATTTTAAAAAAATAAGTAAGAGAATCTTTAAAATAATTAAAAGAAATTAAAAAATTAAATGAAGAAAGAAGTATATATATACAATTTATATTTTTTTTATAAAAATATATATAAAATAAATTAAGGAGACGATCCAAGTATTTAGTTAGATGATTAAATAAGAATATATTCTGAAAAAAATAATGATTAGAAAAAAACTAGAATTTTTGATAGCAATACTAATATTTTGACGAACTAGTTAATATGTAGATTATATTTTTATATTTTTATTAAATATTTATTTTTTTATATAGAAATAAACACTTTTAATGAAATACTTAATTAAAATGGAGATTTTGGTAGTAATAATTAAAAGTCGAAAAAAGTTCTTAAAAATAATTATACTAAAGACGACAAATAAATGATTAAAGAAATTGATTTATAAAAAATTTAAATTAAAGGAAAATTAGATGAAATTTAAGAAGAAGAAGACAATAAATAAAAAATAATAGTTTCTTAAAAGAAAAGGCTATAACTAAAAGATTTTAAAATAATATCATTATCAAAACCTGAAAATCAATAATAATAAAAAAAATAATTAAAAAAAAGTTAAGAATAACTATAAGATGATGGTGATGATTTTAATATGCCTTATATGAATTTTAAATGAATTAATATTATTGAAAAAAAAAAGAGACAAAAAAATATTTTTTTTTAAAAAAAAGTTAATTTATTTAAAAAAAAAAAGATTATTTTCGATTATATTTTAATGAGAGAAAAAAAAAATACTTATATATCTTTTTTTTTGTTATAAAAAAAATAATATCCTTTTTATTTAAAAAAAAAAAAAAAAAAAAACTCATTGGGAACTCCAAGAACTAAGCATTTTTTTAACACTATCCATTTATTTTAAGGTATTATCTAAATTGGGTTACTAATCTAAATATTCTTTTCTAGCTCTAATATCTCCATTCTTTAAGTTTACTAATTATTCTTAAGTCAATGATATTAAATTGTTTTATCTTCATATATAATATAAATATTTTTATAAAATAAAATACAAATTTACTCTTCAATAGTTAAACTAGTAATTTTTCTTACATTTTCTTCAATTCCTTATAAAATCAAAGGCATTAAAGGATCATTATCATAATTCATTTATTTTTTAGCAAGACCTTCAACTGCCAAATCAAACATTTAATTAAGAACTTTTTCTCTGTTTTCTCCTTATAAGGCCTTATCAATAGAAGTAAGTGCGTCATCAATTAATTTTTGTAATAATTAAGCTTAGTTCATTTATTCTAATCCTTAAGCAGTTTTAAGAATATTCAAAGCTCTATTAGAGATATGACTTTGTAATCTTAAATATTCATTTTAAAGGAAATTATTAATTGATTCAGCTTTAATTTAATTGTAACTAGTATGAATATCCCAATATTGTAGTTATTACTTAGTAGCTTTTATATTAAAAATAAAAAAAAAATAGACTAAACAAAAAAATACTTCTTAATAATTCTCTTATTTTATTTTCTATATTTTCAGCATAAAAAGTCTCCATTATATAAGTTTCATTAGCAGCCGCTCTTCTATAGAATCTATTAAGTAAAGGCCTATATTATTTTTATTATTTATTAAAATAAAAAAAGATAAATTATTTTTAATTTTATACATAAATAATGATTTCTTTCCTTCTACATAGAAGTACATTAGTTAAAACCAGAAAACCCATGGGACATAAGTTGAGTTTGCTATCCAGTTTAAATCCAATGAACCCATTCCGAAATTAATAAGGAAATATCCACCCCAGAAAGCTTTTTTATATTTAATATTTTTTTTTATTTTTTTATATTTATTTTTTTACTCAAAAGCATTCTTCTTGACATAGCGAAGTTTTCATAATGAGGAGATACTTATTCAGGACCAACAAAATCGTGGAAACTTTCAGCAATTTTAACAGCGGAAAAATTCAAAGGATGATGAGAAGAGTTATATTAATGTTTATATGCAGATACTTATGGTTTTTTCATTTAAACAGTGTTTTGTTTTTCAATTTCTTTACTTTTTTTTTTTTTTATATATATCAATGCATTTTATAATTTTTACACTTTTTCTTAAAAAGCATTTACTGATTCTTAATAATTTTAACGGAACTTTAAGAAGTTAGTTTAAGAAATTTAATGGGCATTATGTACTTGGGTGGTGGCCGCTGAGAAATTACTTGTTTTTAAGAAACTTAATAAGCGCGCATTTTGTTAAAAGTAAATATGGGAAATCATTTTTATGTTTAAAATTATTTTTTTTTTTTTCCTAATAAATATTTGATTTTTTAGGTAATATAAAAATAAATATTTATTTTATTTTTATATATATATATATATATTTATTTATATATTTTTTTTTTTTTTTTTCCTTTTTATAAAATAAGTATTTATTTAAAAAAAAAAAAAAATTAAATATATATAAAATAAAAATAAATATTATTTTGTTTTAAAAAAAATTATTTTAATTATAAATATTATAAACCTAAATAAAATAAAAAATTATTTCAAATCTTAAACATTACTCCATCAATAACCGAATGTCCAGCATTAACTCCTCCTTCATCATCAAAATATTTCTTTGACCTAACTAAATATCCCCCTTACTTACTTTAAATAATATTATTTCCTTCAAAAATAAAATAAGACATTATACCTAACTCAGCTACGCAAGCCTAAGCCTCAATTTCTCTATTTCTAACCATTAAGCAAATATGAGGTTAAGGCACTATTTTTTCCATCAATATATAATTCTTTCTTTCTTAAACAGTTATTTTTTCCAAAAAAGTGCTTATTTTTTCACCATAAATATTATTATCTCCTCCTTCCCTTTATGGTTTAAGTACATATTTTTCTGGATGTTTTTTAGTTTCAATAATTAGATTCTATTACTCTTCTTCATTTTCAAAATCTAAGATTTCCGCAAAGTTTTCTTTTATGGCTTCTTAGTCTTTTTCTTCTTATAAAAATTTCCCTAAAACACCTTCCTTTTATAAAACTTCTTGTATTTTTTTAAAGTTTATCAATTTCAAATTTATAGAAGGACATTTTATTGCCTTTGTGAGTTCTATTTTTTCTCTTATTTCCCATGCTTCTTCACTTGGATATTATTCAGGAGTATATCCTGTTCTGAAATAGACAATAGCTATTTCATCATTTTCTCTTTTTCATATTTTGATACATTAAAAATATATATAAAAAATAAAAATACACAAAAAGTCTTAGTTCATCATCAACATGGACTTATTTTATTAACTCTTAAAAAGTTCTTCTTTTTGCTAATATCCCGTATTTTTTTGCCAATTAATATTCTAAATATCTTTAATCATATATGTTGCCTTCAAATTCACTTACTACAATCAAAATTTAACTTTTAGGATTATTATAAAGCTAAAAAGCTTAAAAAAGAGCTTCAACAACCATATATTTAGTACTTTTATCCAAAATCTAGTATTCTTAAAAGAAATATTTGAAATACGAATTTTTTAAACCTTTTTATAGTTATTAGACCTATTCAGCAATAAAAGTAAAAGAAACAGCAATTAAATTGAATTCTATTTAAAGCCATTTTTATTTTTCTGCACTAAACATGACATCATTTCTCAAAAACGCCATTTATATTTTCTTTTTATATTTTTTTCTCATTATAGAAAAAAAAAAAAAAAAAAAATATGTACTTATATTTTAGGGCATTTATCAGCTTTTTCAGCAATTTTTAAAAATCTATTTAAAAAATCATCATTCATACTTTATTTTATTTTTTTATTTATAAGTAAATAATAAAAAAAATATACTTTTGAAAAACATCCTTTATCCAATTGTAATCATTTGCCATTTAAACAATTAAATTAGTAAAAATATCATATTTATTATAAAAAGTATCAAAATGCTCTTTTTTTATTATTTATGGTTAAATACTGAAAGGAATATGATCAGAATATATTTTTTGACTATTATTTTATAAATTTACTTTGTATTAATACGATGCATTTTCTATATTGGCGAAATCGATAAAAGTTATTAAATTTCTTTTAGATATTTCATACATTTAGCTATATATATTCATTATTTGAGGTGTAAAAGGTCTCAAAATTTGATTTTTATCGAAAATAATTTACTATAATTATTATATTGTCTCTATTCTTGATTAGAAATATTAAAAATTTTCATTTTCTTCTATTATTTTTATATCTAAATGTCTTAAAGTACATATTAATTCATAAAGAAGAAAATCGTATAAAGATAAGCTATTATCTTCACATAAAAAAGAAAATTTATGAATATAATTATTTATTGTTTTTAATATAGTTTCATCATATTATTTAATTTTTATATCTTCTATACTTTTTATTATCAATTCGCTAATTTAAGGTGTTTTATTATTTAAAAGAGGCTAGTTTGAGAATAGATTTTGGTAGTTTTTGAATAAATATTCAACTATTACCTTATGAGAAGTTAGCTTTTATTAATTATCTATTTATAAAAATAATCCTTCGGGTTATTATTCTGTATAATTAAATGGCACATTTGATAATTTAAATAAATTTTCGTATGGTTAAGTATATGACCTGTATTATGATGAAGATATTTTCATTTAATTTATTTTTTTAAAAGAAATTTATTTTTTCTTTATATATTAAAATGATATATTTATATGAATAATAATAAATTTTGTAGATTTATCTTGATTTTTGTTAATTAAATTAAGTAAAAAATATTTAAAATAATAAAGTATTTAAAGTTCTTAATTTTAAAATAATAAAAGAAATAAAATAAATATTATTTTATTTAAAATTTAAAATAAATATAGGTAAATATAATTAAAAAAGAAAAAAAAAAAGAAAAAAAAATGAATTATTAATAATACAATATGTATAATTAAAACCCATAAATGTAACAATAATAATAATAATAAGCCCAACAAATAAAAACTATAATTGGGACAGATGAAGTAAGACAAATAGTTAAATGTTTAAATGATAAACCTTTTAACGAAAACTATAAACTAGTTACTTTCGATGAATTAAATCCGTAAAAAACAAACAAACAAAAACACACAATTTTTATATATATAAATAATTATAAACAAACAAACAAAAAGAATGGAATTATTAGATGTATTGAATAAAGTACTAACACATTTAGATAAATAAACATTCGAAAACATAAAATCAAAGTAGCCAGACTAAATATCATTAGAAGTTATTTAGTTTTTAAATATTTTAAGTTACCCTGTACCTTAACCTCCAAATGATGTGTAAAAATAAATAAATATACATATATGTATATATATTTATATTAATTATTTAAAACAAACAGCTAATTTTCATAATAATTGCTTACAGGAGATAAAAGAGTCATATATCCAGTTTTATATTATTTATTGACTCGCTTAGAAGAACATTAAAAAAGAGCTTTTTTGGCTAAATACTTAGTTCCATTTATGGTTCCAGAAGATATTCCATTAGACGAAGATATGAAATAATAAATAGAAAAATATAAAGACTTATAAGCTGAATTTTAAGTTAGTCATTAAGAATTTGAAGTTATATCATAAGAATCTAATGTAAAAAATAAAAAAATATATTAATATATATATAAAAACAAAAAATAAGAATCCAACAGAATTAAAGAAAGAAATAACAAGCTTAGAAGGAGAAAAAGAGCAATTAATAAATAAAATAAATGCTTTTAAGAACAAAAACACAAACAGACCTGAATTCCAAGCTTTACTAGAAGTAACAAATCTTTTAAGAAAAGAATAAGAAGAAGAGGCTCGTTTAGCTGAAAAGATATATTAATAAAAATAACAATTCGAATATACAGATTAACAGCTTTTAGCCTCCTAATAACGATTAATGGACGCTAAAAAAAGCTTATCGGCATCAAATACAGCCGAATAAATGCTATAAAATATGAGAAACGATGTAAAGAAAAACAGAGAACTATCTAACTAGAGATTCGCGATTGAAATAAACGAAAAAAAGAAGAAATTAGAACAAACAGAAAAACTCTTAAGTGAACCTCCTATTACACAAAACGAACTAAACCATTTAGACAACTAATTAATTGTTTTAAGAAGAGCTGTTAATATGATGGAAGAAAAGCTTTCGAAACAAGCAAATCCTTAAGATGATAAATTAGCAATTTATAAACAACAAGCATAAATGATAACAAGAAAAAAGAAAAAGCTTTAGAAGAACTCAAAAATACAGAAGAAGAATAACTCAATTTAGAAAAATAAGTAGCAACCTTATAAGAAAAAATAAATAAAGAAAGAGGTTAAGGATTTGGCAATATTAATAATATAAATGGATATGTAAAAAACTTATAAGAAAAAACTCAGAAATTTAAAGAAATGAAAAAATAACTCCAAGACATTAAAAACGAAAAAGCTTTGCTTTCAAGAACAGAGGATATTTTGACAAAACAAAGGACTGATTCTGAATAAATGCTTAAAAAATTGGAAAAACAAAAAGGTGTGGAAGGATATTCAGATGCCTTAAGTAAACTTAACTAAATTTCAGATTAAGCTGAAGTGGCAAATAAAGGAAAGGAAGTCGCCCTTGAAGAATATGGTTAATTAGCTGAAAAATATAATGCCACTATGGCTTACTAAAAAAAACGTCTTAAAAGAATAAATTAAAAATTTGAAAGAATTAAGAGGTACTTTTGATTAAGTTTAGAATGTATATAAATAGAAAAAACAAGAATATGACAATGTAATGCTTAAAAGTGAAGGAGATATAAATTAATTACAAGTAGAAGTCTCAAAACTTAAAGAAGAAGTTTATAAAGATGATACTAAAATCTGTGTTCTTAAATACAATGCTTAAATATTGGATTTAAAAATTAATAGACTTAATGAAGAAGTATTTTTATAATCATTAATTATATTTTTCTATTCTTTTTATTATTTTATAGGCAGATCATTAAAAAGGAAGTAAACCGTTAAGTAAATAATTTTAGAGTTATGTTGATATGTTTAATAATGAAGTATTTAATTTAAATTAAAGTATTATTTATTTTATTTAAATAATAAATAAAAAGAGTAAGCTTTTAGAAGAATAAATTAAAGAATTAAGAAAATAAAGGGAATCTGTAAAAGAAAATCATGAACCTAGTATTAGATAATAATAAATGTTAAGTGATTTGAAGAAGTTTTTGACTTTAAAATTATAAGTAATTATTTTTATTTTAAAATAAAATAATATTTAAATTTAAATTTTTACAAAAAAAAAGGTGGCCAAAAACGAATCAAAAGGCGGAAATGGTTAAGAATATGGGCAAAATATGAATAGGTTAGTATTGTGAATTAATTATTTTATAAATAATAGATTACATAAATAAAAATATTTTATTTAATGATATGAAATATATATAAAATAATAATAAAATAAAAAAAATTATATATTTTAATAATTATAGAAATTATTCATTAAATAAAAATATATTATTATAACATATAATAATAAAAAAAACATATTAATATTTATACATAAATATTATAAAATATAATAATTAAAATATAATATATATTTATATATAATATATATATATAAATATATTTTTTATATTAATTTATAATATCAAAAATATTAAAATAATATTAACAAAAGTAAAATAAATCTTTCTTTAATTTATTAAAAATCTATTATTATAATTATTTTAAAATATTAAAAAGCACCAATTTTTTTTTAAGGGAAAAAGTTATAAATAAGTTTAGTAAAATTTAAATATAAGAACAATAATAAATTTATTTTCTTTTTTTAGATAATACTATAAACAAATATAAGAATATTTATATATATAATAAATATTTTATTTTTACAATAATATTGAATCATACATTGAAATAGAATTTAATGTCATCTTTCTTTTTTTTTCTATTATATTTTTCTATATTTTACTATTATATTTTGAGTTATATAATTTAAACATCATTTTTGTATTCATGTACATTTAATATGTATTTTTTGAAATTCTTATCTCTGTTTTATAAATCTCAGTTTTGTACTTTTCAGTGCCTTTTTTTACTCTTAGTAGCTAAATTATTTTGTATGTTATCCAATTTCTTGTTTATTTCCATTTTTAGGGTGTTTTTAGCGATTCTTCTCTGCTACATTTTGACACAGAATTTTTTCATATTATTATTTTCTATTTTAATTACCTTTAATTTTATTTAGTAATTATTTCTTTCTGTTCTTTTAGTATTTAAAATAGCTTGATTTCATTTAATATATGTGTATTGTTATAAATATTAATTCCATAGGTCTATTCGCGTATTAATTTATTTACTTATACTTACAATTATATATTTTCTCATATATTCTAGAAGGGCTACGTGGAACTATATTTTTGGTTAATATATATTTTATACCGCTAAATCTTATTAAATAAATTATTTTGATATCTTATCTATATATAAAATCTTTGAGTCAAGTAATATAGTTTAAAACAAATTATTAGTTTTTATTATTTTTTATATTATTATAATTTATTAAGGGATAAAAGCATTATATTTATCTTTTATATTCTAGAATAAGGTTTTATTAATCGAATATTTTAATATTTAGATTTATGATAATTATTAATAGAAAATTTTATATTAATAGTTAAACTTTTATTTTAATATAAATATTTTATATATGTAAGCTATTCTTTTTATTTTACTATAAGTTTATTTAATTATCATTTTTTTTATTTAAAATCTATATTCTATTTTAATATATAATTTTTATATATATAGCTCAAGTTTATCATATATAAATATATTATAATAGTTTCTAAATATAGTAATAAAAAGAAATAAATATAAATAATGAGAAAAAAACTAATTAGAATAAAAAAAAATATAAATAATTTGGAAATAAAATAAAAATATAAAGATATAAATAATTAAAGTTATATAAAAATAAAATTATATTCAATGTATTTAGAAAAATAAAAATAAAAAATTAAAATATGATAATAAATTGAAAAAAATATATAATTGAAATAAAAATAAAATAAAATATATATTAAATTAATATATAAACAAAAAAACTAAAATAAAAAAATTAAATAAATAGAATATAAATAAAAAAATTTATATAAAAAAAATTGTAAAATTAAATATAAATTACAAATAGTAAAGATAAATAAAATAATAATAATAATAATAATAATAATAATAATAATAATAATAATAATAATATTAATAATTTTTTTTTTTTTATTACATTAATTAAAGTTTTTAATATAAGTTTAAATTTTTTTTTTTAATATTTGTATAATATATAATATTTTTATTTTTTTCTATTAAATTTTTGAAAATATTATCATAAATTTGTATTTTATGTCTACTAAGCGAATACTTATTTATTTAGATTAATTGTTAATATTTTAATTTTTTAAATTAAAATAAACATTATGATGTATTTTTTTTGTTTAAATTATTTTTTCTATATATATTTTATTTTAGTTTAGTTTTAATATATGCTTTTCTGTATATTTTTAATTTAATAATTAAAATGTTTTAAAACATAAATTTTTTAAAATCTTAAAATATAAAATTAATATATAAATTCGATATTCATCCTTAAAATCATTATTTGTTTATTAATTTTTATTATTCTATTAATTTTTAATTTATTTTTTAATCAAAATCTATAAAAAATAAAATAATATAAAATATTAATTTAACAAAAAACCTTTTAATGAAACATCGATTTTTACATTTCCTTCTTATAATGTTTTCAATTTTTGTTATTATTAAATTTATTAACAAAGATAATTCCTATAGTCAATAAGCTTATTATCATGATAATAAATATCATTTTAATCAATGTTTTTTATGATTTCCCATTCTGTTTATAATTATTTAGCTAATTTTTAATCATCTTATTTTTTACTATTTAATCTTGTAGATCTTCTTACCCAAGAAACGAATTCTTTTTTCTGAATTTTTTTCGTTTTCTTTTAATTTGGTGTTTTCATAAGTGAATAAGAACTTCCTAAATAAGTCCAATCTTACAAATCTTAATTGAGAACATTTTTTTATTTTTTTTATTTTTATTATATTAAGTTATCAAAATTTTTTATTTGTATACTTTTCTTTTTCTTTTTGTTATTTTTTTTTTATTATTATTATTGCCCTTCTTTAACTTTTTTTTCTTTTTCTATTTGCCCTTAACTATTATTATAATTTTAACTATTAATTTACTCTTGACTGGTGATTTCTTCATAATTATTCATTTTTATATATTTTTTTATTTATTCTTAATATTCTTAATATTCTTATTATTCTTAATTATCAGTTTCCTACTAACTTTTTTCTAGAAGATTTCCTGTTAACCATTAATATTTTAGCGAATATGTTCTCTTTAAGTTAGCATTTTAAAATATTTTAAATTTTAAGCTTCTTAATTTTCTAGTTAAAATTAATATTTGTTTGTTTAGTATAATTATTTTAATGAATTTGTTTTTTTTAAGTTGTTATTCTTGAAATATTTTATCTTTTAATCTTCTTAATTTTCTAGTAAATATTAGTCTTTGTTTGCTTGACATAATTATTTTATTGAATTTTTTCTCTTTATGTTATTGTTTTTAAAATATTTTAAATTTTAATCTTCTTAATTTTCTAGTAAATAATAATCTTTGTTTGCTTGAAATTATTATTTTATTGGATTTGTTATTTTTATGTTAGTGTTATTAAAATATTTTAAATTTTAATCTTCTTAATTTTATAGTAAATATTAATCTTAATTTTCTTGCCATTATTATTTTACTGAATTTGCTCTCTTTAAGTTTGTATTTTTAAAATATTTTATATTTTAACCTTCTTAATTTTTTAGCAAATATTAATCTTGGTTTTCTTGCCATTATTATTTTAATGAATGTGCCCTCTTTAAATTATTATTTTTAAAAGATTTTAGGTTTTAATCTTCTTGATTTTCTAGCAAATATTAATCTTAGTTTTCTTGCCATTATTATTTTACTGAATTTTAAGTCTTTAAGTTATTATTTTTAAAAGATTTTAGGTTTTAATCTTCTTGATTTTCTAGTAAATATTAATCTTAGTTTTCTTGCCATTATTATTTTACTGAATTTTAAGTCTTTAAATTATTATTTTTAAAAGATTTTAGGTTTTAATCTTCTTGATTTTCTAGCAAATATTAATCTTAGTTTTCTTGCCATTATTATTTTAATGAATGTGCCCTCTTTAAATTATTATTTTTAAAAGATTTTAGGTTTTAATCTTCTTGATTTTCTAGCAAATATTAATCTTAGTTTTCTTGCCATTATTATTTTACTGAATTTTAAGTCTTTAAGTTATTATTTTTAAAAGATTTTAGGTTTTAATCTTCTTGATTTTCTAGTAAATATTAATCTTAGTTTTCTTGCCATTATTATTTTACTGAATTTTAAGTCTTTAAATTATTATTTTTAAAAGATTTTAGGTTTTAATCTTCTTGATTTTCTAGCAAATATTAATCTTAGTTTTCTTGCCATTATTATTTTAATGAATGTGCCCTCTTTAAATTATTATTTTTAAAAGATTTTAGGTTTTAATCTTCTTGATTTTCTAGCAAATATTAATCTTAGTTTTCTTGCCATAATTATTTTACTGAATTTTAAGTCTTTATGTTATTATTTTTAAAAGATTTTAGGTTTTAATCTTCTTGATTTTCTAGTAAATATTAATCTTAGTTTTCTTGCCATTATTATTTTACTGAATTTTAAGTCTTTAAGTTATTATTTTTAAAAGATTTTAGGTTTTAATCTTCTTGATTTTCTAGTAAATATTAATCTTAGTTTTCTTGCCATTATTATTTTACTGAATTTTAAGTCTTTATGTTATTATTTTTAAAAGATTTTAGGTTTTAATCTTCTTGATTTTCTAGTAAATATTAATCTTAGTTTTCTTGCCATTATTATTTTACTGAATTTTAAGTCTTTATGTTATTATTTTTAAAAGATTTTAGGTTTTAATCTTCTTGATTTTCTAGTAAATATTAATCTTAGTTTTCTTGCCATTATTATTTTACTGAATTTTAAGTCTTTAAATTATTATTTTTAAAAGATTTTAGGTTTTAATCTTCTTGATTTTCTAGCAAATATTAATCTTAGTTTTCTTGCCATTATTATTTTAATGAATGTGCCCTCTTTAAATTATTATTTTTAAAAGATTTTAGGTTTTAATCTTCTTGATTTTCTAGCAAATATTAATCTTAGTTTTCTTGCCATTATTATTTTACTGAATTTTAAGTCTTTAAGTTATTATTTTTAAAAGATTTTAGGTTTTAATCTTCCTGATTTTCTAGCAAATATTAATCTTAGTTTTCTTGCCATAATTATTTTACTGAATTTTAAGTCTTTAAGTTATTATTTTTAAAAGATTTTAGGTTTTAATCTTCTTGATTTTCTAGTAAATATTAATCTTAGTTTTCTTGCCATTATTATTTTACTGAATTTTAAGTCTTTATGTTATTATTTTTAAAAGATTTTAGGTTTTAATCTTCTTGATTTTCTAGTAAATATTAATCTTAGTTTTCTTGCCATTATTATTTTACTGAATTTTAAGTCTTTAAGTTAGTATTTAATTTTTTTTTAAATTGTAATCATCTTAATTTTCTAGCAAATATTAATCCTAGTTTTCTTGCCATTATTATTTTACTTAATTTTGTATATTTATTTTATTATTTCTTAAAGATTTTAAATATTAATCATATTAATTTTCTAATTAAGATTAGTCTTTGTTCACTTGCAATTATTATTTAACTGAATTTCGCGCCCTTACTTTATTGTTTTTAAAAGATTTAAAATTTTAGTCTTGTTAATTTTCTACTTAAGTTTTATCTTTTTTTGCTTGGAATTATTATTTTACTGGATTTGTTGTCTTTAAGTTGGTTTTTTAAAAAGATTTTAATTAATAAGCATCTTAACTTTCTAGTAAAGATTAGTTTTTGTTTGCTTAGCATAATTATTTTACTGAATTTTTAGGCTTAAAGTTATTAGTGTTTTCTAAAGATTTTAGATCTTATACTTCTTAGTTTTTTCGTTATGTTTAAGATTTGCTTATTGACCATTATTATTTTGCCTAAATTTTTGTCTTTAAATTTGTGTTTTTTAAAGATTTTAGATTTTAATCATCTTAATTTTCTAGTTAAGTTTAAGATTTGTTAATTTGCCATTATTATTTTATTTAATATTTAGGTTTTAAATTATTGTTTTATAAAGACTTTAGATTTTAATCATCTTAATTTTCTAGTTAAGTTTAAGATTTGTTAATTTACCATTATTATTTTACTTAACTTTTTGCCTTTAAGTTTGTATTTTTTAAAGATTTTAAGCTTTAATTATCTAGATTTTTTAGTTAAGTTAAACCTTTACTTACTTAATATAATTATTTAACTTAATCTGTTTTTTTTAAGTATTTAAAATATTTCTAATTTTAATCTTATTAATTTTCTTGTTAATTTTAATCTTTGTTTGAATGGCATTATTATCTCACTGAAGTTTTAGTCTTTAAGTTTGTGTCTTTAAAACATTTTAAATTTTCTTGATTTTCTTCTTATGTTTAATCTTTGTTGTTTGATTGCTATTATTATATTGTTAATTCTGTTTTGTTGTTATTTTTAAATTAGTTTAAATCTTCATCTTCTTGATTTTCTAGTTAAGTTATATCTTTGTTTATATTCACTTCAATTTCTATTTCTTCAACTTAATTCAAAGATTTTTTTTGTTACTCAGGCGATGAAAACAAATTCTTTTATAATTAATTACAATAATAAGCTTATTATAAATCATAAGTATTCTATATAACATTAATTTTTTCTTATAAATCGTTTATGACATCATTTTCAAATATTTTATTTTCCTTTTATTATAATTTAATGTAATTTATTTCATATAAATATATATTACTTTTAGATAACTAATTGCTGAATTTTTCTCTTTTTCCGTAAAATCAAAAGTACTTAAGTATAAATACCAAACTTTTGGATTTTATTTTATTTTTCCATATCCATAATACATTAATCCTTATTATAACTTTATGTTAGATTTTTCAAATATATCAAGCAGTTCATTTCTAAAAAAACTTTTATCAAATTCATTTGACTTTTTTTAAATAAATATATATATATAAATTTATTTATATATATTTTAGAATATTCACAAATAAAAAATATTTTATTTTATAATGAAAATTTGTAAAAAAATGTATAATTAAAAAAAAATAAAAAAATTCGTACTTAAAAATTTAGAAAGAGCATTTTTATTCTTTATTCAAGTTATTCAATATGAAAATTATATTCAATTTATTTCACTCCACTATTTTAAAGGGAAATAGATTGTGCAGAATGAATTTATTTTTATGAACTTGATTTTCCTTCTTTTGTTTTTTAATTAGAAAACTTACGATTACTTAAACCATTATTAAGTTATGTAAAATATGGTTTAACCAAAGGACTAAAAATTTTACTAAATTTTTATATAAATTAAAATAAATATAAGTTTTACATTTTAGAATTAGATTAATATCTATTAAGTTGTGCTGAATTACGAGCAGAGCAAGAATCACATTTATTTTTCTTAGTTGGAGTATTAGTTTAAATTGAATAATTACGCAGACTTTGCTGATAATCTCTTTATTATATATAAAATATTTAAACATAAATAAATAATTAAATTAATATATATATATATATATATATATATAATATATATATATATATATATATATAAATATATATATATATATATATATTTATATATAAATTAACAATGTGCTTCTGCTTTAGAAATTACGAGATTTATGAGTTGAAGAAAAATGATTGTAAGACATATTATTATTAGTTGATTAAAATAAATATATATAAATATAATTAAAATAAAAAAATTTAATAAAAATAATATATAATATAAATATAAAAAAAAAATTTAATATCTATTTTTATTATAAATTAAATTATATAAAAAGAATTATAAATATTTTATAGAAAAAAAATTATTAAAAGTTTCTTTCTATTTAATTAAAAAATGTAATTTAATAAATATATTTATAATAATATATATATATATATTTAAAATTAAATAATTCAATTTAATATCATACATTAATCTAGTTACGTTTTATAAAAGCAAAATTTTAATTATCTTTTTCCTTGTTCTAATTGTCTTTATTATTATTATTATTATTATTATTATTATTATTATTATTATTATTATTATTATTATTATTATTATTATTTTATTTATTGTTTTCTATTTCATGCTTTCTATAACTAAATTAAGCTTTATTATAATCTAATCCAATACTATCTGCAATCCATTTATTTATACTCTTTATATTAGAATTTTTACTTTTTTATAAATCTTTTATCCATAATTATATAATATCAGCATCTTTTTTAATAAGTAGTACTATTCCATTTATAATTTCACTTTCTTCATAAGTTTCGCCTATAATTCCCATTAATAAATCTTCCCAAATTTTATTTACAAATCCTTTTTTTAATTTTAATGTTATTTTCCCACCTCCCTTATTTCCTTCATCTTCCCACATAGGTCTTATGTTTTGTTAGAATAAATATAGAGTTCCATATTGCAAATCTTATGGTTTTTTTAAATGAAGATAATATGTCCAAAAATCTTCTATTGTTTTTATTATTCCTATTTTTTCTAATAACTCTTCATAGTTTTTATCTGTTGTTAAATTATTCGGATTCATAAATCCTAAAACAAAATTTGTTTTCAATCTAAATGACTATTGCTATTATTGCTATTATTAATATTACTATTAATTTTATTAATACTATTTTTAGTTATTCATAGGATTATATGTTTATTTTTATTATTTTTCTTATTATGATTGGGATTAATCTTATTCATTTAATTTATTAGTTTTTTAATATTAATATTATTATCTTTTTTGGTCATCAAAATTATATGGCTTTTCAAATCTTTTTTATATTTCTTGATTTTATTAAGGTGCGTCCATTTGTTTCTATTTCTGATGTTATTTTTTTATATTTTGTTATTTAATTATTTAAACTAATTACTAGATAGTAATATATGTTTATATATATGTTATTTTTTAAACAAAAATAAATCAACAACAAAAAAATTAAGAAAAAGAATTAAATATATACTTTTTTTTTTATTCGAATTAAAAATTTTTTAACTTAAAATTGGAAAAAATAATATCTTAAAAATAAGTAATATTTAAAAATAAAATTATTAGATAGTAATATATGTTTATATATATTTTTTTCTATTTTTTTTTGTTATGATTTATTTATTAATATTTAATTATTTTAAATTATGAATTCATAAAAGGTTAGAGTTTAAATAATTTCAGCATTTAAATATTGTATTATTATAAATTAATTAAATTTTCATATAAAATAATAATAAAAATAAATATAAAGTATATTGTAAATTTATATTAATTAAAAAATAGTCATTAACTTAAAAGCATATATTATTTCAAAAAATTATAATTTAAAATGGATTAAATTATAATTCAATTAAATAATTTATCTCAAAATATATTATTTAAGCGATTCTCAAATATAAAAATATAAAAAATATCTATATAAACAATAATTATAAAATTAATATAATTAACTATTATATATAATATTTATTATAATTTAAAATTATTTTTTAAAAAATTTTTACTTTGTATTCATAACAAAAAATATTAATTAAATATTTTTTGTTTTTTTATATATCATTATGTATTTTTATATAATTATTAATTTAATTATTTTTTTAAATTTGATTTTGTATCAAAAAAAAAATTATTTTGGAAAATGAAAAATTTAAATAATATAATTTAAAATAAACATGGATAATTGTTTAAAAATATTAAACAAATAAATCTAAAATAATTAAAAAATTATAATTAAATAAAAATAAATATTGACATAAAATTAAAAGCTTTTATTTTGAGTTTATATAAACTAAAAATACAAATTTACAGGTACTGAAAAAAAATGGTTTTCAATGTTTTATATTAAAATTGTAATTAAACTTGTCAATAATATATAAATAAAAATAAATATTAAAACAAAATAAATATTCTAGAAAATAGAAAAGAATTTTATAAAAAAATACTGCCAATTTTTAATTTGTAAAAAACATATTAATAATTAGAATAAAATAATTAAAACTAAAAAAAATAATTTAAATTATTAATTAAAATTATAAAAAAATAAACTATAATAAATATACAAAAAATAATAGTATACAAACAAAAATACAAAAAGCATGTTTTTTAAAGATTTTACATTTTTTGAAGAAGGAAATATTAGTAATATTTCATAAAAATTATTATTTTGATAAAAAAAAAATTAAAATAAAGAAAAATCTAAGAATTAAAAATACTAGTAAAAAAAAAAGTTTAAATAAAATTAAAACAGGTCCAAATCTATAGATAATAATAGCTTATATGAAATATTAGAAATTTAAAAAAATGCAACGTAAGCCCAAATAAAATAAGCATTCATATAACATGCAAAAACCCACCATCCGGATAAAGGAGGTGATTCCGAAAAAGTAAAAAAAAAAAAAAAAAACGAATAATAATAAAGAAATCAAATATATAATGAAAAGTTTTAACAATATCAATAAGCATATGAAATATTATAAGACCCATAAAAAAAAGAAATATACGATAAATATGGAATGGAAGGATTAGAAAATGAAAAAAACAAGCCTTAAGGTATAAAATTAAATAATTTTTATTTATTAACTATTCACTAATTACCTATATATATAAAGATCTTTTTGATATTCTAACAGGAGGAAACACAAGAGGAAAACAAAGAAACAGAGGAATTTAAAAAATGCGAGGTGTTAAAATGTATCTAGAAGTATCATTAGAAGAATCTTATATAGGAAAAGTATTAAAAATGCCTTTCGAAAGATAAAAAAATTGCCATGTCTGCGATGGAAAAGGAGGTTCTGAAATAAAATAATGTTACACATGTAAAGGAAGAGGAATTCAGATAAAAACTATAAATATGGGGCCTATTATTTAATAATTTTAATAAGACTGTTAATCTTGTGGAGGAGAAGGGAAGATTATTAATGAAAAAAATAAATGTCAATCCTGTAAAGGAAATAAAATATATAATTAAAAGGTTATTTTAGACGTTCCTATAAATAAGGTACTTTTTTATTTATAAATAATGAGTAGATATATATTAAAGATATAAAAAAAAGGGAGCTTATGATGGTTAAGAAATAATTTTATATGGAGAAGGTGATGAAGCACCTGGTTATATGGCAGGAGATTTGCATTTAACTGTTAAAATGAAACACAATAATGTATTTCAAAGATAAGGGGCAGATCTTATCATGAAAAAAAAAATTAATCTTGCCGAATCTTTAACTGGATTTTCTTTTGTAATAAAAACTTTAGATAATAATGAAGTTATTATTTCTAATAATAAAAGCGAAGTTATATATGATGAAATGAAAAAAATCGTTAAAGGCTTAGGAATGCCTTATTTTGGAGATCATATGTCTTATGGAAATCTTATTATTATTTTTTAAGTAGAATTTCCGTAAAACGGTGCTTTATCTACTTATTAATTAAATAAATTATCTGAAGTATTCATTATATTTTATTTTATGTTTTATTTTATTTTTTATAGATCCTTCCAGGACCTACTAATAAATAGCCTAATATACCCAAAGATGATGTTCTAATACTAGAAGAATTCGATCCTCACACCACTAATCCTAATGAAGAAGGAGGAAAAAGTAACAATTTTATGTTTTATTTTAACTTATTTTTTTATATTTTAAAGAAGAATATGAAGAAGAAGAGGAAGAAGACGAATATTGTGATTACGATGATTAGGATAATAGACCATAATGTGCTTAATAATGAAGAATATAATTATTTTTTAATTTAAATTATATTCAATAATTAAAAATATGACTGAACATATTAATATTTTTATTTTTAAATTTGTTAATAAATTTAATACATTTATTTAAAATATACATTAAAAAGGTATTACTTTATTTATGTATATATTTGTTTTTTCGCATATAAATTCGAAAAAAAAAAATATATATATATATATAATATTATTGTCAAATAGATTTATATTATTTTAGTTTTTAAAAATTAAAATTAATATTTTATTGATATATATAACTAATTAATAAAGTAGTTTTTAAATATTTTTATTTAACAATATTAAAGAATAAATTGTATATTTATTATTAAAGAGATTAATTTCACAATAATTATTAAATAAAATAAAATTATTAAACTTTTGTACATATAAATTTTTTACATTTTAATATTTTATTATATAAAAAATAAAATAATATATGAAATTTCTTAATAATTACATTTTTTTTTTGAATTTATTCATTTTCAATAAAAAAAATATCTAAATTTACTTAATATAAAAAATATAATTGTTTTTATTAAAAATAAAGATGTTTACATAAAGACTTTATAAATTCAAAAAATTGATAAATAAATAATATTTTCGCTTTTCATCTTTGAATTTCAATAAATAATATGATGTAATAGTTATTGGTGGAGGCCATGCAGGTTGTGAAGCAGCTCATGGTAAATGAAAAAAATAAAAAAATAAAATAAAAAAAAAAAAGCATCATCTAAAATTGGAGCAAAAACCCTTTTATTAACATAAAAAAAGGACACAATAGGAGAAATGAGTTGCAACGTTTTTTTTTTATTATAATTAAAAATATTTAATAGAATAAATTTTTATAAAAAGCCTTCTATGGGGGGAATAGGTAAAGGAACACTAATAAGAGAAGTAGATGCATTAGGAGGGATAATAGGAAAAATAAGTGATTTATCAGGTATTTAATTTAAGGTTTTGAACTCAAGTAAAGGAGTAGCTGTATAAGGTCCAAGAGCATAAATAGACCGAGAAATATATAAAAGAAATATGCAAAATTATTTATTTAACCATACATCTAATTTAGATATATTAGAAGCAAGGTAAAATTCCAAAAAAAATAAATCAAAAAAATAAAAAAAGTTGCGAAAACTTAATAATAGATGAAAATGAAAATAAAATAAAGGGAATAATAACTTAAAATAATGAAGAAATTCAATGCTAAAAAGTAATAATTACAACTGGAACATTTCTTAGAGCTTATTGCTATATTGGAAATATAAAATATCCAGCAGGCAGACATTTAAGAAATTCAGAAAAAGTAGAACCCCCATCAATAGGTTTAGCGTATACTCTCGAAAAATACAAATTTGATATCAATAGATATACAACAGGTACACCTGCAAGAATAGATAAATCGACGATAAATTTCGAAGGATTAAAAACACAAGAAAGTGATTAAAAAATAACTCCTTTTAGTTTTATAAATTAATTTAATTAGCCATTTAAACCATTAAATCCTTTAAGTAATAAATCATAAACTATAATATCCTTATAAATATTTTAAATAATAAGTAAGATGTTATATGACGGAAACAAATGATATAACACATGAAATAATAAATAAAAATAGACATTTGTTGCCCACTTTTTAAGGAAATAACGGAAAAGGATAAGGACCAAGATACTGTCCTGCAATCGAAAAGAAGGTTGACCGTTTTCCTTAAAAAAAAAGCCATTAAGTTTGGTTAGAACCAGAAGGAATTGAAAATAATGTAGTTTATCCAAATGGTTTAAATACTGCTTTTCCAGAAGACATTTAAGTAGAAATTTTAAGGTCAATAAAAGGTTTGGAAAAATGTAAAATCATTAGACCTGGTTATGCAGTTGAATATGATTTTGTAAATCCTTAAGAGCTTAAAAAAACTCTTGAAACTAAAAAGATTTCAGGATTATATTTTGCAGGATAAATTAATGGAACTACAGGATATGAAGAAGCTGCTTGTTAAGGAATTATTGCAGGTATTAATGCTGCGAGATCATTTTTGAGAAAAGAAGAGCTTATTCTTGGAAGAGAAGAGGCTTTTATTGGAGTTTTAATTGATGATTTGATTAGTTTAGGAGTTACGGAACCTTACAGAATGTTCACTTCAAGGTCAGAGTTTAGGATTAGTTTAAGGGCAGAAAATGCAGATTTTCGACTTAGTGATTATGCTATAAAATTAGGAATGTTAACCAAAGAATAGGAAGAAATTTTTGAAAAAAAGAAAGAAATGAAGAAATAAAGTAAAGTCTTTTTAGAATCGTTTATTTTAAAAGGACATTAATGGTAAAAAAATTTAAATATAAAAATTAATCAAGGAAAATTATCAGCGGCGGATATATTAGTAAAATATGAAGTAAAAATCGATGATATATAAAATGCTTTTTTTTAATAATTTAAAGTACCAGATTAAATTAAAAATCATTTAGAAGCTGAATATAAATATAAATTCTGTTTAGACAAATAAGCTTAAGTATTTTTTCTCTTTTCTTTTCTGAAAATTAAATTAATTATTATATATTACTAATAGGAAATATTTAATTTAAAATAAAACGAAATCGATATTTCAAATATTGATTATAAAAATATTAAATTCGCAGCAACTTAAGAAGAAATTGAACTTTTGAAAAAATTCAAGCCCAATACTATATATGCTGCAAGTAGAATACCTGGAATGAGATCTTCTACGTTAACTTTTTTATATTATTAGGCTAAAAAACATTATTTATAAGACATTATTAATTCTTGAAAAAATTAGAATTTATTTATAAAATTTTTATTTTTTTGTATTTATAATTATTATTTTTCGATATTATTAAATAAATATTTTTATATATAAATCAAAAAGAATCATTGTTTTTATATTATTTAATATTTTTGTGTATATAATTACAATATTTAAAAATATTTAAACTAAATAGGTAAATAAAATAATTAGAATCAAAGATAAATAAAAAGAATTATAATTTAAATAATAATAATTAAGTAATAAGGATTATAAATTAATATAAATACTTTAGAAAAATAAAAAAAATTATAATATTTATTATTAATGACAAATAAATAAAATTATTTCATATTTTGAAATATCTAAAAATATTAAATTTAAGAAAATATATATATAAAATGATAAATATAGATCGAATAAATATATTTATACATAAAAAAAATTATTATTTGATTTAATGAACTTGTAATTTTTTTATAAGAAATTATTTTAAAATAAAAAAAAAATATTTAAATTTAAAAAATACAATATTTTTATTTATTAATTGCATTGTAAGATTGTGAATTAAGTTATAAATATATAAATATTAGATTAATATAAATATATATATATATATATATATATATATTTATATATAAATTTATATTTCTAATATTTTATTTAATATAATTTAAATAAATATTTTTTTAATTTTATTTTTATATGTATTTACAACTATAAAAATTTATAATAATTTTTTAATTATAATTATATTTACATTATATATTTTAGTTTGTTTATTTTGATTATTTATCTTATTATTAATTTTTTATTTTTTTATACTTTAAAAGTATATATTTATCGAGAACATAATTTTCTTCACTTTAAGTTAATATAATTTTAAAATATTTTTAGACACTTATAAATATATTATTATATAGTTTATTAAATTAATATTTAAAAATAGTATTTAAAATTATTATTAAATTTAATTTTAATAATAAATTTAATTTAATTTTTAATTTTAATTTAATTTTTATAATATATATTTCTTTTTTTTATTTTAATGTTTATATTATTATATCTTCTATTTAATTTTTTTTAGTTAATAAAGAAACTAAAGAGTTTATCAAAAATTTTTTCAAAGAAACTAAAATTTTTTTGCGGCGTCTAAATATTTTTGCTTATTTATATTAAACAGATTTTCTGAAATTCATTTTTTTAAATAACTGCTTTAAATGTATATAATAAAAAGTTTGAATTAAAATTAATATTTAAAAGAATTTCAATTTCTAGTTTATTTTTATAAAATTTGGTCTACTTTAAATAAAATAATAACCGGCTTTTAAAAATAACCTAAAATTTTAATAATTGAGATTACTTTATCATTTTAAATCTGCTTTTAATTTAATGTGTCTAAAGCCTACTTTTTAAGCTTACCCACCCTAATAAAATTATTTAATTTTTACGAATAATTTTTAGTTTTTTTATTTTCATATTTATTCTTTTAGTTATAATATCATTTTTGTCGAAGAAATGTTTATTTTTGTATTTTACAAGCTTTTTTATTATTTTAATAAAATGATTATATTAAATAAATAATTTAGAAGTATATATTGTTTTTTTTTATTTTTAAATAATAACTTTTTTATTAATTCTTATCATATTTATATTTTTCTGATTTTTTTTAAAAAAAAATCTTTCTTATTTTATTCACTTAAATTTTAAAAAATATTAAGTTATTTTTATATTTCTTTTGACTTAATTATATTTTTATTTTTTTTTATTGATATTAAATTTGTTATTTTTATTATTTTCATTTATAAAAATATATTATATAAAATAACTATTATAATATTTAATAATTTAATTAATAAAAGATATATAGATATAAATTAAATTATAAAACTAAATTTACTTAGTTAAAACCATTTTTTCGACATAATAAATTTAGTCTATAAAACGCCTTCATTTTATTCGACCTGTTGTGATATATGTGATACAAACAATTTTTTTTAAAAAAAAATAGAAAAAGTAGAGCCTAAACTAAACCTTTAAAAAACCAAGGGTTGATAATTTTTTTTATATAATGGCAATTTAAAATGAATGTAGAGAGTCTTTCTTTTTATACAGAAAAAAATAAGATCATTGATTGGAGACCTTAAGAACAAAAGTCAATATACAGAATATATTATAAAATTAAATATTCTTATATATAAGTTCTAAAAATATAACTTAATTAATTAAAAGTATTTAAGTCTTATAAATAGAAAGGAATTTTTAAAAATATTATAAGAATAATAAATAACTTTAAATAAAAAAGAAAATATTAGATTAAAATTAAAAAAATAAACTAAAATATTATACATAACTATCTGAAAAAAATAAATAATGAAAAGTTAAAAAAACTTATAGAAACAATAAATATTATACGGTTAATATAATATTAAATATAATATATATACATGTTTAATGTAAAAATAATATTAATTTGGTTATTATATATCCATAAAAATATAAAATTAATAAATTTAAATATTTATTTATTTTAAACTATAAAAATTTATTCATGACATTTTTTTTTGTTAAAAAAAAAAATTAATTCGATATCACTCCCCTATTAAAAAATACTTAATTTTAAACATTATTACGTATTTAACACTCCTATAAGGTGAAAATATACTAATTTATTATCAAACAATATTATGAATTTAATCATATTTAGATCATTAAATTAAACTAATATAAAAATATTATTTATAATTTCATTTATATAAAATATACTATTGTACTTAATTTAAATAAATAAAATTATATTTAATAAAATTAACATAATATAAATAAATTATAAAAATAAATATTTTTAATTATTATTAATCAATACAAAATATATAATATAAATATATTTTTATCTAAAATATTATAAGAAAGATTTTTAATGTATATAAATCAATTTAAACAATATGTTTATCAATAATTTTTATTGAATACATTATTAAAAATATATGTAATTTCAACTTATATTTAATTTAATGATAAATATAAAATTATTTTTAAAAATTATTAAAATTTTTTGATATTAAAGCCAGTTTTATTACATTTACAAATAAAAAATTATTTAATATTAATTTTTGAAAATAAAGTGTCATTAAATATATAAAATTAATTAAATAATACTGTTTTAAACCTTTATAATACTATTCTTTAAAAAAATTTTAGATTATTATCCAGAAAATCAATTAAATATAATTTTTTATTAAAATTATATTATTATAAATCTAATATTTTAAATAATTTTTGTTCGATATTTACACTATATTAAAAAATTAAATATTTTTGTATTTTAGATAATTTATTTTATATAAAATTATAATTTTATTATATATAATTTAATTTATTTGTCTAAAATGTACATCAAAAATAAATACATATAAAAATGAAAAAATTAAACAAATAATAACTAATTTAGTTTTTCAAGATAATTAATTTTTAATATAAATAAAAATTATTTTATTAATTAAAGTAATCATTTTTATTATTCAATCTTAAAATTTATTTATTTTATTTAATTTAGATTTAGTATTTAATAAATATCCTTTTTAAATTACTTTAAATACATTTTCTTTTTCCTAAAATAAACGAAAAATTATGAATTGAATAATAATAATAAAAAAAAATTACTTGATTTATTATATCTGTAGCTTATTAATACATTTTTTTTATAATTGGGAAAACTGCATTTTAATAGTTTAAATTTTCTTCATTCCCATTTAAATTTTTGATTTGTTTAAAATTTAATTTTTCATTATATTATTTTTAATTTCTTATTTAAAATTATTATAAATTATCTTTTTATTTCAATTAAAGTTCGTTATTCTTTAATTTGCATAAATTTTTATTTTCAAGAAGATTTTATGATGAAATTTCATTTACACTATTCGAATTTCTTCTATATGCTAATTATTTTTGAATAATTTTTATATTTTGTACATGTTTTATGTTACTATTTTTTATTAAATTAATTTTATCTTATTTTTTAGAAGAATTTTATAATTATTAAAATCCAAAAATACAATTATTTTTACTTTTTTAGTTTTATTAAAGTGAGTTTTATATTTTATTTGTATAATAATTGCTTTAGTTATTTTTTAATTTAAAATATAATATTTTCTAGGATTTAATTAGTTAGATTAATAAGCTATTTTATCATAAAGTTCTTAAAATTAAATACTTTTTCTTTATTATTCTTTCTAATTGTAATTTAATTATTCATTTGCTTCAGATTTTGTTCTTTCATTTTTTTATTATTTATATCCTTATTTTATTTTTAATAAGTTAATAAACATAATTGCTTTCTAAACCTTTTTTTTATTTTAATAGTTATTTTTATTAAATAAAATAAACGAATAATTATATATATATATATATAAATAAATTAATCATACTTTAATAAAATTCTATTATTTCTCAAAATATTATTAAAAATATTACATCTTTTCATTAAATGTTAAAGGAACTTAATCATCTAATTTTCTAGTTATAAAAGGGTGCTAAAGTGCTTAAAACGCAGAATATCTTTCAATTGGATTTAACAATGTTAGCTTTTGTATTAAATTTTTTGCTAAAATTGAAAAATGTACTGGAAAATTCCACTCTGGATTTTAAAGCTTTTCTTTAAAGATTTCGGTTGTATCTACATTCTTTATATAAAAAGGGTGATTTCCATTATCTAATAGATTATAAATTATAATAGCACAACTCCATAAATCAATTTACTATATATTTGTATTTTATAAAAATATGTATATTAATAATACTTTAGAATATGCACGACGATGAGCAAATACTTCAGGTGCCATATATAATAGAGTCCCACAAATTTAAGTTAAGCCATCAGTTGTCCATAAAGAAAAAACAGAACTTAAACCAAAATCTGCAATTTTAACTGAAGATAAATTATTTATATTGTCAATCAAAATATTTTCTATATTATATGTCATATTTTTTTTCTTATAAAATTTAATATATATAATATACCTGGCTTTAAATCTTTATGAACTATATTTTTTTAATGAATATAAACTAATCCTTACATTATACTTTTCATTATTTATGCAATATCAGATTCTTCGAATTTTATATTATTGTTTTTTCTATATTAAATTAATTGTGCTAAAGAACCTCCTTTTATTAATTCCATTGATATTAATATTCTTTTTTTAGTTTCTCTAACGTTTTTGAATTTTACTATATTTGGATGGTTTAATTATTATAAAATATTTGCTTCTTGTTATATTTTTAACTTGAAATCTTAATCAGTTTATTTTTTTATTATTACCTATTTTTTTTTTATATTTTTATAAATATTTTTATTATTTCCTTTTTTTTCTTTTACTTTAACAGCTAATAGCTCTTTTGTTTATATATCTATTGCTTCTATTACTTTTCCGAATGCACCTTAGCCAACTTCTTTTATGGCTATAAAAAATTAAGAAAAATTATTCTCTTCATCATCTCCTGAATTTAAGTAATTTATTAAATTCATTTTTTTTTTTACTAATATATGTTTATTTATAGTTAATTTAAATTATGTTTTTTTAAGAAAAAAAATAATTAACATTAATAATTTATAGTTTCTATATATATTTGAAAAATTAAATATATAACTTTATTTAAAACTGAATATTATTGAAAAAAAAAAAATATTATATGTTAGTATAGAAAAATACAAAATAAAACATTAATGATTATCTATTTTTATAATTAAAAAAGTAAATATGAAATATAAAATTATATTATAAATACTAATAAAATTAATAAATTAATGAAAAAAAAAAAAAAAAAAAAATTAATTTTTTCTATTTTGAAAAAATAATAATTTAATATATTTAAAATAAATATTAAAAAATATATAAAATAACATTTATATAATATATGAAGCTATAAAATAATTAAAAAAATTAATAATTTATATATAAAAAATTTTTATAATATTTCTAAAATAATTATTTATTATTTTAAACAAAATATAATAATAACATATTTATAATTATAAAATAATTAATATTTTAATTACTAATTTTTTAAAATCATTAAGTTTTATACATTTCTTATAGATAATTTTAATAAAAGTTGAAATTAAAAAAAAGAAAAAATGGGTAAAACAAAAATAACGAAAAAGTTTGCATAAGTCAAACGTTTAATAAACAGTAAAGATGATAGATTGTAATATATATAACAAAAAATATATATAAATATAAATAAAAACAGAAAAACCCAAAAAGAAAAGGAAAAAGAAATATAAAAAAAATTAAAATATAAAAATCCAGATTAAATTCAATCAAGAGAAATGTAAATTATTTTTTATTAATAAAATTTAATTTTTTATAAGTGAATCAGTACCAACCCATTTATTCTTCAAACATAATACCTCTTTAGGACCTCCTTATAGAATTTTATTAGATACAAATTTTGTTAATTTTTCAATTTAAAATAAATTAGATATTTTCAAAGCCTCAATGGATTGTCTATTGGGAAAATGTATAAAAATATCAATATTCATTAAATGGTTTTTATTTTTTATTAAAAGGTATCCCTTATGTAACTGATTGTGTAATAGCAGAATTAGAAAAATTAGGTCATAGATATAGATTAGCATTAAAGTAAAAAATTAAATAATAATAATATTAAAAATAAATAAAGGCTTATGAAAGATCCTAGATTTGAAAAACTAAAATGTGATCACTAAGGGACATACGCAGATGATTGTTTAGTTAATAGAGTTAAATAAGTAATTCAAATTATTTTGATTTTATTTTTATATATTTATTCGTTTTTAGCAAAGAATATATATTGTGGCGACTTGTGATAAAGACTTAAGAAGAAGAATTAGAAAAACACCAGGTGTACCTATTATGTTTATATAGTCTCATAAATATAATATTGAAAGAATGGCAGAAGCTTATGGAGCAGCAAAATGATTTTTTAAAAATTTGCTCATTTATATGTATTTATTTTGTAAAAAAAAAAAAAAAAAAAAGTAAAATATTGATATAAATATTATTATTATTTTTTTTAAAACTAAAATATTAATTTTAGTTTCTTTATATATTTTTTAATATAGGTTTTTAAAATCTTTAAATTTATATTATAAATTATTAAATGGAATTTTTACTAAAATATATATATTTTTTTTTGTTAAAATGCCATTTAAATTTAAAATTGTAAAGAGAAAATTAAATATAAAACTCCTATCTTTATATTTAAAAATAGATTTTTAATCAACATTTCTATTATATTTTAAAAGCAGTTAATTTTAAATCTATAATTATTTTAATTTCTTTAACTTTTTCTTTTTTTTTATATTTATTATATATTATATATAATTTTATTATGTTGCATTTAAGAAATTATAAAAAGCAATAATTAATATACTTAGAAATAATAAAAATAATTAATATTTTTATTCACAAAAAAAAAAAAAAAAAAAGTAAAATAAAATAAAATACAATATAATATAATATAATTAAGTATTATAATAAAAAAGTTCAAATACCTATATAATATAATATTTTAAAAATGGAGTTTTTAAATAATAAGAATAAA